GTCCTCCCTGTGCTGTTCCCCAGGGCTGGAGGCAGCTCTGCAGGGGAGGTCTCACCCAAGGGGGCAGCAGGGCAGAATCCCCCAGAGCACAGGAGGGATCTCTGGGCCACGTCCATCCTCTCCCCTCATCCTTCTCCACCAGCTCATCCCCACCCTGCCCCGACACCAGCGGTCGCCCTGATCCGGCAGCATCGCCAGCATTTGTCTTACTAAACCCCCCAAGCTCCCTGAGAGCTACATCTTGAGCTCATCCAGGCCCCTCTGGACGGCCCTGTCCTCGAGATGTGTCACCCAGAGTCCTCAGAGCCTCCTGGGTGCCTCCCCACCTCCGCTGGCCGCGGTGAGCTCGGTGCGCCGCACGAAGCCCAAGTAACCGGTGCGGGCCCAGAGCGTCTGCGCCGCGTCCCCGAAGCTCAGGCGGGTGTTGAAGTGGTCGGCCTGGAGGGTCTCGTTGTCGTAGATGGTGTAGTAGCCACTGGCTGTGTGGGGGCTGTTCACCCAGATCTGTGCAGGGAGGGGAGAATGGTCACCCCCAGGCCCCACGAGCGCTGATGTGGAGCGGGTGAGAATCATAGAATCATAGAATCAGAGAATCACAGAATTATAGAATCATAGAATCACAGAATCACAGGATCATAGAATCATGGAATCATAGAATCACAGAATCACAGAATCATAGAATTATAGAATCATAGAATCACAGAATCATAGAATCACAGAATCACAGAATCATAGAATCACAGAATTATAGAATCATAGAATCATAGAATCACAGAATCATGGAATCATAGAACCATAGAATTACAGAATTATAGAATCACAGGATCACAGAATCATAGAATCACAGAATCACAGAATCATAGAATCACAGAATCATAGAATCACAGAATCATAGAATTATAGAATCATAGAATTATAGAATCATAGAATTATAGAATCATAGAATCACAGAATCATAGAATCACAGAATCATAGAATCACAGAATCATAGAATCACAGAATTATAGAATCACAGAATTATAGAATCACAGAATCACAGAATCACAGAATCATAGAATCACAGAATTATAGAATCACAGAATCACAGAATCAGCTGGGTTGGAAGGGACCTCCAAGGTCATCAAGTCCAACCCTTGATCCAACCCCACCGTGGTTCCCAGCCCATGGCACTGATGCCACATCCAGTCTCATCTTAAAAACCTCCAGGGATGGAGAATCCACCCCCTCCCTGGGCAGCCCATTCCAATGGCTGATCACCCTCTCTGCAAAGAAATTCTTCCTGATATCCAACCTAAACCTCCCCTGGCACAGCTGAAGACCCCGAACCCTCTTGTCTTGGGAAAAGAGCCCAACCCCCCCCTGGCTCCCCCCTGTCAGGGAGTTGCAGAGAGTGAGGAGGTCTCCCCTGAGCCTCCTCTTCTCCAGGCTGAGCCCCCCCAGCTCCCTCAGCCTCTCCTCACAACACTTGTGCTCCAGTCCCTTCCCCAGCCTCGTTGCTCTCCTCTGGACCTGCTCCAGGACCTCAATGTCCTTCCTGAGCTGAGGGCCCAGAGCTGGACACAGCACTCCAGGGGTGGCCTCAGCAGGGCAAGAATCACTTCTTTGGCCCTGTTGGCCACACTGTTCCTGAGCCAGGAAGCTCCGAGGCGAAGGTTCCCTTTTTATCTACCATTTTTTGGGACCAAAAAACCCCCATCTTCATTTAGGTCAAACCTCCAAATATCCTCTATTGTCCTTTATTATCTCAACAATGCACCTTGCAGATCTACCCTCAGGACTCGCTGAGCAAACAAACTGCGGATTTTTAACGTGTCGAGTCCAAAACTTGATAATAATCTGCCAACACAGACAAATGCACTGGTGTGTAATCAAGATAAGGAGAGCCAAATGTAAATTAGATTATTTGGGAGCCAGTTTGCAAGATTTAGAGTGGAATAAGCTTTCCTTTCTAGTGGGTTTTTTGTTTTGACTGGGCCGTGAAATAACGCCCAAATTCTGAGAGCTCCAGCAATAATTCAGCTTATAAAGGCCTGGGAGTGTCACAGCCTCAAACTGTCCCCCAGCAGCTTCAGAACCCAGCAGAGAACAGCCCAAGGAGCAGCAGGAGAAGGTCCCCAAGAAGCAAAATCTCCACTTACCTCCCCAAGGTGGGAATCTCCCAGAGGCCCTTTTGTCTCCGGGTTGACAATGACCACTTTGACTCCAGGCAGAATCTAAGGAGCACAGGAAGGAATGTGTTAATTCCTGCTGGATTGTCCTCAGGCCCAATAAAACACATTCATTCAGGGCAGGATTTCACCCACAGCCACCACAAGCAGGGATAAAACACCTCAGGACAGGTACAGGGAGGCAGGATCAGGGGATGGATGGATTCCATGGCTCAAGGGCCACACAGGGAGGGAATTCTGGGCCTGGACATGTTGCCGGACCTCGATTTTGAAGAATTCAGTTACAAAAATCCTGGGAAACCTCTTTTTGTTAATCCATGAGGGAGCCACAGTAAATCCCAAATACAGGCTGATTTCAAGGATCCCACAGCCCCCACTTCTGATGTGGACTCGATGATCTCAGAGGTCTTTTCCAGCCTAATTCATTCTCTGATTTGGTTCATTTACTGCAAACAGAACCAATTCTCCCACGAGTTTCAGCAAAACACAGTCCTTAATCATTACTTCATTATAAATCCAACTGATTTTCCAGAGGAACAGTGTAACCAAGCCCTTCCCAAGCCCTGCCACGGGATTATCCTTCTCAGGGCTGTAAGAAATGTGTGGTTCCCAACTGCCCTGTGCTGTGGCTCCGGATAAAGACTTGGAATTACCTTCCCAGACTCGGAAAGCAACAGGCTCTGTGGAGCTCCTCGTTCCACCAGACGGACTCTGAAGGGAAAGAAAACGTTGTCAGGATTAAAAGAGTGGAAATCTCCAGAGCAGTGTGAGAGCTCAGCACCCTGACAGCATTTTATAGAGTTATTAAATTGAGTTAATGAACTTACTGTACCTGTCATGCCTCAAGGACTTCAGGTCCACGTACACCGTGGTGGGATCGGGCCCGGACGTTCCCTGAGGAGTTAAAACATTTAAAACCCATCAGTTTGTCTCCAGCAGGCAGAGGGACTCCTGCCTGAGCTCAGAAACCTTTCCAGGGGTTTCCCACAGCAAAATTCCTACTCACACACCCCCCACCTTTGCAGCTGCACTAAGGGAGACCCTTCAGTGAACAGGGAAACACTTGGGTGGGAGGGAGGTTTGGGGAGGGGGGGACACAGTCCAAGCCCCCTCAGCCATCAGTGCTGGGGCAACCAGGCACTGTTTGTGTGGGAATAAACACACCAATTTATATTAATGATTATTACTGATTATATATTTACTAGGTGGGAATAAACACACCAATTTATAATAATGATTATTATTGATTATATATTTACTATGTGGGAATAAACACACCAATATATGTGGGAATAAACACACCAATACCATGTGGGAATAAACACACCAACACTGTCCATGTGGGAATAAACACACCAAGTTATATTAATGATTATTATTGATAATTATTGATTATATATTTACTATGTGGGAATAAACACACCAATACTATGTGGGAATAAACACACCAACACTGTCCATGTAGGAACAAACACACCAATACTATGTGGGAATAAACACACCAACACTGTCTACGTGGGAATAAACAGCTCCCCAAGCCACGTTCCAGCTGTTTGGAGCATCTGTGACATAATCTGGCAGCTGAAAACAAGGGAAGCTGCTTAACCCCTGTGCCAGCTGCTGCGGGCAGGGCACATGTTGGGTTCCAGAAGCAGATGGGGGGAGTTTGTGGGTTCTGGAACGGAATAGAGCCCGGAATGTGGGATCTGGGATTCCAGGGATGAGGGGAGGAAGTGTCACCTGTAAGCAGATGGCCACGTTGACCCGGGAGCCGAAGGTGGTGCTGACAGCACGGGATGAGAGCCCGATGTCCTTGAAGAGCTTGGAGAAGGACTGAGTGAGGGACACCCGGGGCCGCTCCTCTGCCACCACCACGCACGTCCTCACACATGACAGGTTGATGCCCCGGGCCTGGGGAGAACATGGGTCAGGCAGGATCCCTCTTTGCAGCTTCTATTTGTAATTCTTATTATTATTCAGCACAGGGCTGGATGTGTTGGTCACCTCTGTCCCCTCTCAAGAAGTGACATTTGCTCCTTATCCTTGGAATTAACTCAAGAAAAGCAGGGCAAACCTTGTTCTTGTGTTCAAGTTATTTCCTCTTTTCAGCTTCTATTTGTAACACTTATTCAGGCACAGGGTTGGATGTGTTGGCCACCTGTCTACACTCAAAGAGGTGACATTTGTTTCTTATCCCTGGAAATAACTCAGGAAATGCAGGGCAAACCCTGCTCTTGTGTTCAGGTTACTTCCTCTTCTCAGTTTCTAATTATTATTATTATTATTATTATTGTTGTTGTTGTTGCTGTTATTCAGGCAAAGGGCTGGATGTGTTGGTCACCTCTGTCCCCTCTCAAGAAGTGACATTTGCTCCTTATACCTGGAAATAACTCAAGAAACGCAGGACAAACCCTGTTCTTGTGTTCAAGTTATTTCCTCTTTTCAGTTTCTGTTTGTTGTTGTTGCTATTGGTGGTATTGTCAATAATAATAATAATAATAAGAACAATAATAATAATAAATAGTATTATATAACATGAAATGTGTAATTTTAGCTTCTATTTGTAATTATTATTATTATTAACAACAACGACAACAATAATAATAATATACTATAATAATATAATATTAAATTTGTTATTTTCAGCTCCTGTTTGTACTTATAAAATGTGTCTGACCAAGCCTGGAAACGCAGCCAGGACCAACCCTGCTCTACCAGGGCTCCCTCCTCTGCCCCAGTGCAGCACCAGGGGCTCCTGCAGAGCCAAAACAAGGGAGGGTAAAGTCGTTTGCTGGGATTGCACTGAGCCTTC